GCTGGAGGAGGGGCAGAGTGTGAGGAGTCCTTCCCTGAGGAGGAAGGAGCGGCAGAGACAGCGTGTGATGAACCGACCCCAAGCCCCATTCCCTGTCCCCCTGTGCTGCTGGTGGGGAGGAGGGAGAGAAATGGGGAGCAAAGCTGAGCCCGGGAAGAAGGGATGGGAAAGGGGTTTAGGATCTGGTTTTGTCTCTCATTGCCCTACTCTGATTTGACTGGTGACTGGTTAAATTAGTTTTAATTCCCCAAGCCAGGTCTCTTTTGCCCGTGACCGTAACGGGTGAGTGACCCCTCCCTGTCCGTGTCTGCACCCACCAGCCTTCCCTTGTATCTTCTCCTCCCCATCCCACCGGGGGAGGAGTGAGCGAGCGGCTGTGTGGGGCTGAGTTGCTGCCTGGGCCTAAACTACGAGAGCGTGAAAGGCCTGTATTCTCCCATAAAGAGAGAAAGAAAAGTTTATTCCTACAAAAGGAAAAGACATGACATTTTAAGGAGACATAACAACACACACTGCTGCATTCCCTGACCCATCCTGCTGACTCCCACACAGCTATGCCCTCTGACTGCATCGAATTTTACTGCCTATTAAATTAATCATACATTTTTTTCATTCTTCAAAATTAGCCTCAAGGAATTTGTTTAGATAAAAGAAGATGAGAAAAAATTTGGGGCACTTTCTAGAAAATGATGTTTACACTTCCTCAACTAATTTCCTCCAGCATTTTAAATAAATCAAAGTATAAATGTACTGTTTTCAAAATGACTCTTGCAATTAATTATTAATCACAAACAAAAAGCTCAACTGACTAATTTTCAATGTAGGCCAATTGATTTTTTAATATTTTAAATCAAAGCTTGATTATATTCTTCTCAGAAAAGGAAAACTTGGAGGCTGTTGAGAATTCGCACTGAAAATTGTTCAGTTTAGATGGAGAACTTCTATTTCTCTGTCTTTGTGCCATTCTGTTGAGAATCACAGCAGAAACGAGAGGTCTGAGAATAAAACCAAGCAAGTTTCTCTAGTGCCGGCAGTGGAGGGGGAATCAGGCCAGTCCCCGTGTCATTTCTTTAGTTGTTTTCTTTGTCAAAGTGTACTTGACACTCCCAAAAGTGCTGGCTGGCCATCTCCCAAGAGCTGCTGCCCCACTCTTTCTGCCCTCTGCGTCTTTGAAGAATGACTCCAGAGTGCAGCTGAGTAACCTGACGTATGTGTAAAAGTCTCTCTCCCTTAAGAATAAACATTTCCTCTGGAGTTCATCCTTGAGAGTGTGAACATCAAAGGCGGCCAAATCTTTCAGCTGGGCGTAGCTCTAAGAGACAAATGCAAGCACTCCCCTCTTTGGTACTCTTCAGGCGTAAGTGGAAACTTAACCTAAAGTGGGACTGAAGTGCTCTCCCTTCAATCTCATCACTCCTTTCCCTCCTTTTCTCCAGAAAGAACTGACTTACAATTTTTGATATAGATACCATAAAAGTCAGTCTTCCCTGACTTAAATGAGACCTTACTAAACTCAGGATCTTACAATGCAGAGAAGCAATTTTATATAGACCTGAGCATGGTTATCCTGAGTTTGGAAGATGCACTGCTAGCTGGGGGAAAACACAAATGAAAACCAGATGAATGAGCTAAAACCTGGAGATGAAGGCATTTTAGACCCTTGTCTGTCATCAAGACCTTCACAACCGCATCTTTTTTCCAGTATGGGCATGTGGTATACACCTGCAGCATGTCAGTAAGAAGCCTACTTGCAGTTTTCTTTTGGTTCCTCAAATAGCGCTTAAAAAAAAAAAAAAAAAAAAAAGAGTTCCCTGATCCTGAATGGTGCTAATGAATGCTCTCACATACCATATCTGATGTCTGGTTAACTTCTGACTTTTAGGCTGAGTGACACGTTAAAGATATTTAAGATGTGCATCTAATTGCCAACTGTCTCTAAGAACGGTTAAAGTGACAAAAGACAATTCTGACATTACAAATTGCCAATGCAAGTGATGTAACTCAACCTTTAGTCCCGCTCTAGAGCCTCGTCCTAAATAATGCCACTTTCAAAATGAAGAAATAAGCCAAAACATTCACCTACCTAAGACAAACAACTGCAGCACATCCAAAAATACTGTTGTCACACGTAGCTCAGACAACAACTGGCGAGGCCATTCAGCGCTCCAAAAGACCAGCTGCCAGGCAGCTATACGAAAAACCCTCTTCCAAATGCCTGATGCCATCAACAGCCCTGCTCTTTCTTCCAAAACCACCATCCGAGAGCCTCGTTATCAATCACAGGGAGCTTGAAACAAAATGCCTACGCAGCCTCGTGTCTGTCTCCAAGTCACTAGACATTCATTGGAGTAACTCCCGCTCCCAGCACAGTAATTTCTATCACTGCACAGCGTTCAGTATTAAAACACAACAATAAACCAAAATAATACACAGCCTTGGCTGAGAGGAGGGAAAATGTGTTCATAATTGTCCCACTGTTGGCAGTAGCTGAGCCAATCTATGTATAAATACGTATGTATTTTAGAAAATACAAGACAAAGAAAACATTTGTAAAAATGTACATGCTAACGATTGTCTACACACGAGTCAAGGTTCATCAAAATCTCCCACACCACAATGCCTGAAACAGAGTTTTTATGTTTAGAGCGTTGCGGAGAACATTTCCTATACACAGTTCAAAGACACAGATCAGTCCCAGATGAGAGGGGAGAGCAAGCCATGAGCCAGCTCTGCTTCCCCGGCAACGGTAACTAACGGCACGTCGTCGCATTCGACGCGCGTGCTACAACGGGGGGTGCCCGGGCCCAGGGAGTGGTGGTGCATGGAGTTAAATCCGGTTGGGTGCTGGTCACCACTGGTGTTTGTTCCCCGCGGCTCAGTGCTGGGTCCAGTGCTCCTT